CATCTTGGTGTGTATCACTAAGTCTAAGTGAAAGGATAACACTAAGAATGCAGTGGAAGACAACCTGGATGAAGATGTGTTGGTCAATACTGGAAAAAGAAGACAATGTCTGACTAAATGTCAGGACATTATTCGGGACATGCTTCCCATGCAACCAATAAGGGAGTGTTACGACACTTTATGATCAAACACGTGGCAGAAGGTGTGTTTGACCATGCATGTGCATGTATTAGGAATGATTATTTTCAACTGACACAGTCTAGAGCATTTAAAGGCGTTCAAAGCTGTTTTGGACGATGCACATTGTTGTAAGTGGTAGTTTTGTCCCTTAATTAACGTTTCTTTGACCAAGAATGCTTGTCTCCTTCAAAGATCATTAATTCCTATGAAAACTGCCCAGCTATTTATAGAGTTCTCTTTTATCCTCTATCTCCATGTGAGTGTTTGATTTTGTTCATCATCACTATGGGTTTTGTTCTGGTCTGGGTAAGCTGTGTCTGGGTCTAGTTCTGTGAAGGCCTCCTTTGTTAATTTTTGGCGAAAAAAGGGGGAGAAAGGGTGTGTACTCAGATGGTCAATCTGGAATCTGCAGTTCCAGATGTTGCTTTGAAATGTCAGACAATGGGGCTATCTTGTTACCATGGCCTGTTATGGTTTTGTGACATGTGATCTGAGTTATGAACACAATTGTGACATGTGTTCTGAGTTACCAGAGGTGGTGGTTGATTTGTCTATGTCCATTGGAGGCTGCTGATCGAGGAATGGTTGATAATTCTCTTATGCCACCATTGGTTTCCTATGACAAGAGATGTTACATGGTTTGAGGAGGAGTGTCAGCTATCTTCTTCCTCATGTGCACCAAACCAAATGGCTTCAGGACTTTTTACTCCTTTTCCTGAAGGTTCTTCACTTTGGTGATGGGTTTGGTAATGCAATGGAGCTCATTCAAATTGCTTGAAAGAAGATGTCAAACAAAGATGTCACAACATCTTTACTGAAGACTGACTCCATGGTGCTATGCTGCAGTGTTTAACAGTTGTTGAACACTACCGTTGATGTTTTTTTATTACTGTAATTTTTGAGTTGTATTTTTTATTTTATTTATTTTAGCCAAAATTTTCCAAAGGGGGAGATTGTAAGTTCTCTAGTTTTAAGGATTGACATTAATTTTTGTAAAAAAAATAATACAACAATATGTTAGATATGACGTTTTAACTTGCTAACAGGATCATGTGGAGCAAGAAGTCCTATCTTATGTTAGAACATGTTGAGTTGAAGTATTTCAACATCTGGAACAACATGTCGGATAAGATGTCCTATGAAGGAGCATACGACATCGTGCCTGAGCTAAAGTGAACTGTTAGATTCTGTTGTGATTTAACTCGTGCATAATATTTTGGGAAATATTATGCGATATTATATGGCGTTGATTTAAAGGTCAAGAAGAATCTAATCATAATATTGAATAATATATAATTTCTAAATTTGACGATAATTTAGGAAGATTTGATTAAAGACCTTGATTGTAGCAGAAGTTATTGTTGGTTGTTACAACTGATATACTATACTTTGAAGGTCAAAATCCAGGTGGGCATATGTTATAAATAGAAGTGTTTGTAACCTAGGAAAAGCACGAGTTCAAGATGTAGAAGTCTAGGGCTTTATCTTTTTGCCGCTCTCTAGGAGAGTTGGTGTAAGTGAACCACTCGGACTGTGATATGGTCACTGTTGTTCTCACTCAGAAGCTGTGAAGTAATGAGTTGATTATTGTTCTTGGAGGAAGCTTTGAAGCAAATCCAAGTTATGATCTTAGTCAAGAGTCTTGGCTAGTGATTTTCATGGAAGTGTGTCTTCCTGTTTGTTCAGAATTGTGTTGATGTAATAGTTGTCTGTGATTGAAGAGGGATTGAGGAGGGCCTCGTATCTAGGTGAGTCTTATATAGAAATCTAGCAAGGGTAGTGATTAAATGATTAGGCCGTAAACTAGAGGTTTGCAGTAGGGTATATGGATTGATACTATTTGAGTGGATCTGTCCCTGGCTTGGTATGCCCCCAAAGTAGGAGAGTTGCTCCGAATTGGGTTAACAATTCTGGTGTGTTATTTATACTTTTCAGTTCTGTTTTTATTGTTAATACCTTACCTGTTTATTTATGTCAGATCAGATGCCCCAACATGTCATAGGACATCTGAGTTCTGTCATACCAGAATTTCAATTACTCATCTCTAAATAAAACGGTTCGCCACACCAAGAGTCTACCCATAAGTAAATTGAATTACCATTACCAAGCAACTAAGAGGAATTATCCCGAATAACCGAAATCTCAACTCTAATACTAGACCAAAGCGATAATGAATATGATGTTTTATAAATTTATTTCTTCTAAAAACCCGACTTCTAGCAAGAATGGCCCAATCCTCATCCAAATTAAAGAATTCCCAAGCTAGCATTAACTTTGTAGCCGCATTAAGATTATTCAAAGATCTAATGTCGAGACCTCCTTCGGGAATAAGCTTGCAGATTTTCTTCCAAGCCACAATGACTGATTTGTTTTTCGACACATTGCCACTCCAAATAAAGTTGCGGGGAACTCTCTTAATTTTCCTCAACAATGAGAACGGTCACTCATAAACGGACATAGAGCGAATGATCATACTTTGAATATAGGATTTAACCAATTCCACCCTCCCTGCAAATGAGAGAAGAAAAGCTTTCCAAGATGCAAGCTTGAGGATAATTTTGTCAATAGTAGGAAGAAGAAATTTTGCTTTGGACTTTCCTTTAAAAATAGGGATTCCAAGATACATGAAGGAAGAAAAACCAACATTAAAACCAGACAAATCCAAGAGAATGTTGAGACGAGAAACCGTCATAGCCCCTCCATAAATAAAATATTTACTACATATTATAGCTTGACCATAGGCGACTGCAAGAGAGTTGAAAATCGAAACCAGATTTTTAATATTGGCAACACTTCCTTTACAAAAAATGAGCACATCATCCGCAAAATTATCTATAAACGTGCCTTATATTCTTCTTTTGGAATCGTGATTAATAATCTACCTCCTTAATAATAGGTTGTGGTAGTTGAGACGAAGAAATGTCACACACTCCATTAAGAGCTTGACAAAAAGATTTCTTCGAAATATTAAGCGTCGGAGAAGAGTTTGACATTTTTGGGGTTTCTTGAAAAGGAAAGTTAAGGACGAGAAAAAAAAGCAATTTCAGAAAAAAGAGAGTAAAGACCCATGAGTAACCTAAACGCAAGCACAAAACAAACGAAAGAGAAGAAAAATCAATTTAAAATTAAAATCAATTGTTAGAAAAATTCAGAAAGGACAAAAGAACCTAACAACGCTGTTGAACATTTTTTTTTAAATCTAACAAATTTTCATTTAATTACACATAAATATTACATATTATTTAAATACTATAAAAAAATATATTATTTAATTATTTTTATTCACTAATTTTTTTTTTATAGTATGGGTGTGTTTATGTTGTGCTCAAAAGTTTGCGCCCATAGAAGAGTTTCTCTTAAAAGTTAAAACTGATGTATTGAAGTTGTGTACTGTATTATCTATATGCAAAAAAATGTCCTAAATAAAACTGAAAAGGCACTAACAACAATTTACAATTTAAGATAAAAAAAAAACACTACTACTTTGCATAGAAAATAATAACTTAAGAAAATCTACAATTTACAATTTACAAATTTACTTAAATGATTCTGTGTTAGTTTTGGCAAATTTAATTTTATATGAAAATGTACATCAAAATACAGCAAAGCTAAAATTCCTTCTAGCAGAAGAACTAACTTAAAAGAATTTAAATGAATCCGCGTAAAAATTAAATTAAATAAATCTAGACTTATTGAAAAATCATGTTTACCAAAAACAAAATACTAACATAAATTAATAATTTATTGTAGACGTTCATGGGTCCCACTGTAGCGATGCACTACTTTATCAACCGCTATGCACATACATGACACAACACAATGCCTCGATTACCTCCTTACCTTTTCGATAATGATCTTTTTCCCATAATCCACACCTAAATTACTTGTACTCACAAATTGAAAAAAATAAAATAAAATTTCAAACTCATGCCTATCACTCTTTGTCATTTCAACTAACCAAAACTAAAATATTATGACCATGCTTGTTAGTACAAAATTTTAAATAACTCATTTATTTAAAATGCTAAATAATTAAACTCAAATTTTAAAAATTAGTTCATTAAAATATATAAAATAATTTATAATTTATATATTTTTTATTATATCAATTTATGAGAAAATTACACTCACCTTCAATAACGTTTGTTAAAAAAACATTGACACTTTTTAATTTTAAGTCATACACAGACCTCTCCTAAACATATATATATATTAACAAAAAATTATAGTGTCATATAAAAAATTATAAGTAAATATCATCTATGTATCTCTCATTTTATTATTTTTTATTATTTTATAAATAATTAAAAAAATTAAAATCAATAAAAATAATAATACAATTTAGATATTAAAAAAAAAAAGAGAATAGAAGGAACGTTAGTAAGTTATAAATATAAAATATTGGCTATTAAAAAAATAAATATAAAATTATTTCTTTCCTTATTTAATTAAATATAAAAATAGATTTTATAAATTTATTGTTACACAAGTAATTTCCATTTTAACGCGTGTGAAACACACTACTAAAGCCGCGTGAAAAATACAGCACCGCTCGTTTCATGTGAGTATCTCTCTACAAATACACACTCTTCCCTCTCCCACTCACACTCTCTCTCACACACACTCACATTTTTCTCTCTCCCATGTCTCGCATTTTTGCAATCATGGGTCCCTTCACACATTCCTAGTTTCTTTTTCTTTTCCTATTAAATCCCTTCACAACCCACCAAAATCCCTTCACACTTCTTCAATCCCAAATTTCAAACCTTCTGTTTTTCTCTCTCTGTTATTTCGTCTCTATTTCATTATCATCTTTTGCTATGGCTGAAAACTTAGTCGACGGAGAGTTCTGGTTGCCACTACAGTTTCTCTCCGACGACGAGAACGACGACGGCTTAACCACTCCCCCGTTTTCCTCAAAAGACAAACCTTCTCGGTTGTTCAACAATGGTGGAGATGTTCTTCCTTTTCCCTCTGAGTTCCCTTATGGCTTAGCATATTCAGATTTCAGTTCTCCGGTCGACTCGCTCAGTGGTTCAAGCGAAACAGAAAGCGACGAGGATGAAAAACACATGGCTGAGTTGACTCATCGCATGGCTCGTTCAACACTCCAAGCTGATTCCAAAGCCTCTGATAACAACTTGGTATGGAAATTTATGGAAATGTATTCAGTTTTATTTTTAATTTTAAAACGGTTTAGACGTTTTCTTTGTTTGTAGCGTTCGGTACTTAATTGTATTTTATTGTTTATTTTTTTTGCAGGGCCGTTTTGTGCCAGGTTCACCACAATCTACACTATGTGCTTTCGGGAGTGGTTGTCGTTGCCGTAAAGGTTCAGGTTCAAGCCATGGAAGTCCTAAAGGTGTTTGTGAGGATTCTTCTTCAAAGGCCACTTGGGATCTGCTGCATGCGGCTGCAGGGGAAGTAGAAAGGATGAGATTGAGCCAGGAACGTTATAATGGACCCTTTAAACCTTCTCCTATTACTCTACACTCCAAAAACAACACTGTTTCAACTAATCATGAAATGGGTTATTTCACTCAACATTCACTTTCTCACCAGCAATTGCTAATTGCACAAGTAAGCTATCACTTTCATTAATACAGTAGTACTTTACTTTGTTTTTAATACATTTAATAAAATATGACATTTCTTTGTTTGTTTGCAATTTAGTTGCAGATGCTGAGGCAGCAACAAATGGCAAAACAACATAACTCAATGTGGGGTGGTGTGCAGAACCAATGCGGGGGTGTATTTGAAAATCGACAAACCAACTCAGTAACACCAACCAGAGGAAGAAATATCGGTGATGATAATGGTGTTGTCGATGGAATGAGAAACACACACGCAGGTGCTTTAGGTTTGTCTTCATCTGCATGGCCGACACTTCAACATGCCAAACAACAACAGTTTTATAAACAAGCCAAACAACAATCACAGATTAACAATCAACAATTTGGGTCTGGAATGAGAGCTGTTTTTCTGGGTAATGGTTCTGGTAGAAGGGAAAGTGCTGGCACTGGCGTGTTCTTGCCTCGTCGTGTCGATAGACCTGCTGAATCACGGAAAAAACCAGGTGAATGCTTTTTTCATGTTTTTTTTGTCTGTTTTAATTTCAAATATTGTGCTGCACGCTTTTTTACTTCATTTTCATTTCATAGGCATTTAATGCGGTGGTTGTGGTTGAACATCATTACTATAAAAAAATTATAATGTATGAAAATGGCTGAATCTAGTTGTAAATGTTTTTCCGCTAATTGTATGTTATTAGAATTTTTGTCACAAGTTTGTTATTTATATTTTTGTTGTTTTTTATTTGCAGTATGTTCAACTGCGTTGGTTCCAGCTAGAGTGGCCCAAGCCCTGAATTTGAACCTTGATGAATATGTAGTGGGGCAGCCGCAACAGCACTTGCATCGTTTTAATTCCATCTCTAATGTGGACAATGGTAATAATAATAAATGATTAACGTGCATAATTATAACTAATTGATTTGGAGTGTAGTTATCACTCCTCCAGTATAACCTGCATTTTTATTTTTTAAAATATGTTAATTGAATACAATATTGATTAATTGACTTTTGTGTATATGCAGTAGTCCCTCCTAGGCATAGGGGTAATTATGGCCTTTCACATCAGAAGCACATCAACAACAATGTCAGCAGGCCACAGCCAGCAGTGAGCAATGAAATCAGCCTTCCAAAAGAGTGGACTTACTGATGTGATGATGAAAAAGAAATGGTGTAGGGATTTTGAGAGCATTTTAAGGGATTTGATAGTTTTATAGGAGAAGGAATAGTTTTTTGGTTGTTCTGAAAGGTAAGTGGGGTTTTGGTAAGATATTTGGGTCAAGATGTAAGAAAAAAATAAAAGATAGATGTTTTTTTTTTTCATTAGCAAGAGCTTAAAAATAATGTTAGGAGTTTATGGATAAAAAAGTAATGCAGCTATGACAGCTTGAAATTGCAGTGATATCAGTTACTTTTGTTCTTTTTGATGGAGAGTTATGGTAAGTCTCTAAAGGAAAGACAGATGGTGGATGGGTCAATTTTTGCCTTTGTTTTTGTTTGGTATTATTAGGGTAGTAGTAATAAAAATAATGGGTTTGGGATGACAATGGAAAATTAGGAAGGGAATGGGCTAGATTTGCATAGGTATTACAGCTCCCTTTCTTATGTATTTTGTTGGAAATCTGATTATGCCAACCTGTCCACCTTAATTTCTTAATATAAATAATAATACAAGGAATTTTAGTTATGCATTGTTTGTTTTTACTTTTATGTTCATTCAATCATCTTTTTTATACTTTTTTGAATTTCAAATTCTTGCTTGTCTATGAGAAGAGGTTTTTATCAACAAAAATTCCATAATTGTCATAAGAGAACAAGAGGTTTTTCAACAAAAATTTCCTATGGGGTAATCTTTTAATAGAAATACAATCAAGGAAATGTAGAATGTGTCTTAAACGTGTTAATTGTGTTAATTATTCTTTATATTGTACAATATATTTTCTTTTATTATTAATTATTAAATTTTATTAGAGTAACAACTATTTTATTAATTATAGTTAAAAAAGGTTAAATATAATTTTAATCTTTATAATTTTAAAAAAATGATTGTTTTGATTTTTACAAAATATTTATGCATTTTAATCCTATAATTTTGATTTTTTTAAATTATTTATAAACTTTTAAATTTTTGAATAATTTTTTCTATATATATTTAAATACTAAAATTTTTTAATTAAAATTTAGAATTTTTTAAATTGAAAAAAATTAAATATGAATTTTTAAAATTTCAAAAAATAATATATATTTAAAAATTTTGATTTAAAAATATCTACAAATAATATTTTAAAAATACATATTAATTTAACAAGAATAAAATAATATGTATAATAATTTTATAGAGATAAAATATACTATTTTTTATAGGAACAAAAAATAAAATTTGATAATTTTATAGTAACTAAAAACATATTTAATTTTAAATAATTAAAAAAAATAGTTTTTATGAAACAAATTGAGTCTTTTGCGAAATCAAACAAATTATTAATATCTCATCCGCCTCTAAATATATATTTTTGAATAAAATAAAAGAATAAAAAAACTAATGATATGATTAAATTTGTTGATAAATTTCTTTTTTAATTTTGTAATTTGTCCTTTAAAAAACAATATAAATATATATTTTTATATTAGTATTTATTATTAAATATACAAAATAATGTAAAATAAATAAGAATATATTGATAAAAAAAGTAATAAATAATATTCTTTTAAAGCTGTGTCTTACGTAAGTTTTATGAGCTGTGTCTTACTAAGAACTTGTTGCTTTTTCCAATACAATTAAAGGCACCTTTTGCTTTGTCCAAGGAGATGATTGCAGGCGCTTTGAATATTGAACTGTATATTTATAAATATTACTAGTACTCCTCTAAGATTAATTTGAAGTATTTATATATAACCTTTATACCATTGGGTATTATTGAGATCTCTCTTATAAATATGGCAAAGTGAAAAAGAGAAAGTAAAGAAAATGAGCATATCATTGATGTGTCAAGTGTGAGTGTACGTATGTATGAAGATTAATTGACCATTGCTTGGTAGGGAAGCTTCTGTGCCCCTGGTTTGAACTGTGGTACAATATGTTTGGTTTAACACGTGTAAGGTTTTGTTTTTCAAATGCTTACAAATCGTTTTCATATGGTGCTTCCATTAATGCCCAAAAAGTTTCATCTTTAATGTATATATCTTGGAACTTACAAATGTGGTGGGGGACTCATGCTTCATTTCTTAGTTTTTAAGGCTTTCTAAGGAAACCTTGCCTTCTGGTAATGCCTTACTCTCCAAAGTTTTATTTCATACCCCCCTACAACTATCTTTATACTTCTACATTTTATAAAAATGACCAATATATATATATATATATATATATATATATATATATATATATATATATATATATATTCAAAATGACAATGAATTCTGATATGTAATTTTTATATATTGGATAACTTGTAATAAATTATTCGGTATATTTTTATTTTATTTCGGATAACTTAAAAAATATGTTTTGGTAAAGATTTTAATTTTTAATGTATAGAAATACTTGATAAAAGATTCCCAATTTAGAATTTTTAAATAGAATTTTCTTCACAGAAAAAGTTATAAATTTTCTGTTTTTTTTCTTTCATTCTTAATAGAAAGCGGTTTTTAAACTGTTCACTTAAAACCGTTGCAAAAAATAAGCACTTTAAAAACCGTTGTCATAGTGGTTGGTAAAGCAAGTAAGACAACCGTTTTTCTTACTTTTAAGTTACGGTTTTCCACTGTTGCCTATATTTTTCATTTTTAAATAATGAGATAACTTACCTATAAGTTATTCAATATGTATTTTACATGTATTCCGATTTTTGAAAAAATGAACTTGTTATAAAATGAAAGTAGGTACTAAAATGAGGGAGACTAGCCAAATACTTCAAGAGTTAAAAACTCTAAAGTTTGGAAGTCCTCGCAAGTTCTATTGAAATCCATAGATACATTGAAGAAATGGGGAGCTACAAGAGCAATTTGAATTCCAAAAGCTTTAAGGAGCATAAAGTCACCTAAAGGAAGGTTAGGAGAATCTTCAGCAACAAAGTTTTGAAGCGCAAGGCTCAGATGTCGTAGCAACATGCTGGGACACCTTATCCCTTATGCACCTCCATACTATTGGTGCATAAGGAAGATAAAAGGTAAAAAAATATATTTATTGATAGCTTCAAAATAAAGATTTACAATGAATTACAATAACCTACTCCACTAGGGGTTATTTATACACAAAAATTAAATCTAAAATATATCTTCTACAAAGATATAAGAAGATCTAAAATATATATCTTCTAACAAAGATATAAACAATCTAAAAGATATTCCTAAATATAAATTAATATCTAATTAAATCTAAATTAATTCTAACATCATCCCTTAATTTATATTTACTCAAAACTGACAACACCAATTTCATCCCTTAAACCAAAAAATTGATCAGTTTTGATAGCCTTTGTTAGAACATCTGCCAGCTGCTTCTGGGTGCTACAGTGCACAACCTCTAATATTTCATTCTGAACTTGATTCCTCAGAAAATGATACCTGGTCTCAATATGCTTGCTTCTCCCATGCATGACTGGATTCTTGACAAGATTGATTGCAGACTTGTTATCAATCATCAGCTTCAGAGGTTTATTTACCTCAATCTTCAGATCTTTCAGCAAGTTCAGAATCCACACAACTTGACATGCAGTAAGAGCACATGCAATATATTCAGCTTCACAAGTTGACAGAGCAACAATATGTTGCTTCTTGGAACACCAAGAAATAGGACCTCCCAGAAATTTGAATAAGTACCCAGAAGTACTTCTTATGACAACTCTATCTCAGCACCAATCAGAATCAGAATAACTCAGAAGTTATGATTCGATCTTTCTTCCAGACGAAAATAACACTCCATATTTCAGAGTTCCCTTCACATACCTCAAGAATCCTGACTGCAGCTTGGTAATGAGACCACTTTGGTTTGCTCATAAATCTGCTAACCATTCCAACTGCATAACAAATATCAGGTCCGATATTACATAAATACCTTAGAGAACCAACTATCTGTTTGAAGGTTGTAGCATCCACATCCTCTCCATCAGAATCAAAGTCCAACTTTTGATTCGTATCAGCAGGTGTGATAGTAACTTTGCAATCTTCTAGCTTAAATCTCTTCAAGAGCTCTAGTTCATACTTCATCTGATGCAAAATGATTCCTTCCTCAGAGTACATAAATTCCATCCCTAGAAAGAAACTCATTTTTCCAAGATCTTTCATCTCAAATGCATTCATCAGAACTTTCTTGAACTCAACTATCTCTTGTTCAGAACTTCTTGTGAGTAATATACCATCATCATACATACAGACCAAAATCATATTAACTTCTGAAGTGTGGTGAACATAAACACCATACTCCATCTCACACTTCTGAAACCCTTGTTCATTGAAAAACGAATCAATCTTCAAATTCCAAGATCTGGGCGCTTGCTTCAATCCATACAATGCTTTGTGTAATTTTAACACCATCCCTTCCTGATTATTTTTCTCAAATCCAGGAGGTTGTGAAACATACACCTCTTCTTGTAATGGGCCATTCAGAAATGCTGATTTTACATCTAAATGCATCAGAGGCCAATTCCTGTTAGCAGCTATTGCAATCACTAGTCTAATTGTTTCATGTCTCGCTACAGGTGCAAACACTTCAAAGTAATCCATCCCAGGCTTCTGTAGAAAGCCTCTTGCTACTAATCTCGCTTTGTGTTTGCCAATTGATCCATCTGGCTTTAGCTTCTGCTTGAAAATCCATCTGACACTGATGTCTCTCTTGCCTTTTGGAAGTTCTGTCAGCTTCCAAGTCTTGTTTCTCTCTATAGAATCAAGTTCTTCTTTCATGGCTTGTAACCAAACTTGCTGCTTAGAGCCTCTTTCGTACTCACAGATTCAGAGTCTACTAACATTGGACACTGAATAACTTCTCCTTTAGAGTCTACTTCAGTGTCTTGCAACATGTCAAACTCTGCAAATCTTCTTGGGATGCTTCTGACTCTTTGTGGCCTCTGAACTGGACCTTCAGAACTTGGGACACCAGAACTTTCCCCTTCAGAAGCACTTGCTTCAGAAATTGAACTTTCTCTAGAACCTTGACTGTATTCAGAGTCTGGATCACCATCAGAGTGAGAGTTAGAATCATCTTCTCCTTCTGTATCTTCTTCAGAGTCAGAGTCTTTACCAGCTTCAGAAACATGTATTTCTAACCTTTCTTCAGAAGTTCTGTCATCAGAGTCAGGACGAGACTTTTCCCAATTCCAAACTTCTGATTCCTCTACAATGACGTCTCTGCTGAACTCAACTTTGTTAGTTTTTAGACAATAAAGTTTGTATGAACCTGTACTGTGATACCCCACCAGCAACATCACTTTACTTATATCATCCAACTTCTGTCTTCTGGCTTCTGGGACATGTTTGTAACATACAGAACCAAACACCTTCAGATGACTAACACTTTGCTTATCTCAAGTCCACTTATGAATAGGAACTATTTTCTTTAATTTCTTTATTGAAAATCTGTTGAGCACATAACATGCAGTTGCAACAACTTCTCCCCAGAGTGTGAGGAAGCTTCTTCTCTTTCAGCATGCTTCTCACCATATCTAGCAAAGTACGATTTCTT